CGAGCTGCTCCTCGAAACTGTCCATCTTTCTAATTTAACAAATGATTTCTGCTCCGGGAGCAGACCATTTTCAGCGAGATAACATGCAGAAGCATGCAGAACGAACCCTTTATAGTCATTGAGAGCATTTACAGGACCTCTGTAGGGCGGTGGCGTGTGCYATTCACCAAAATATGACTTGAGTTTATTTTTGTTGGACACTGGAGCAAATGTAAAGTCAATMTATAAATAAATAAATTTTAAAAAAATAAGCATACGGGTATATTCATACATATATGCTGTCAAAATTTATGATTTTTGTCTAAACATGCACACATAAAACAAACAAAGACGCGGATTTTATTCTGAAAAAGGCAAACAGCGATGCGGTTTAGACTGTTTTGGTCTGACTTCCACATTTATCATTGCGTGATTTCCCATTTATTGAGCATGCTTCTCAGAGCATCTCTGAGCTTCGCAGCGGAGTGGAACGGACGCAGTGTAAATCCCAGTAGTTAACGAATGGCACCAAAGTGCAAGGTGGAGCAAAATCACAGGTCAATGGCCTGAACTTATATAGCACTTTATCAAGTCCAAGAACTTCAATGTGCTTCACACTACAGACGTTCACCCTTTCACACACATTCACACACTGATTCACTACATTGGAGCCACAGATGTCCTGGAGCACACTGACAGGCAAGCCAGCCATACACCGGAGCCATCAGGTTCATGACCGCCACCAGCAGCCCAGGTGGGTGAAGTGTCTTACCCAAGTACACAATGACTGAGAAGTACYAAGCGGAGGTTCAAACCAACAACTCATCAGTTGCAGGCTCCCTATCTCCTGTTGCCTTTGTTATAATTCACATGTAGTGTAAATGTGGGGTAAGTCTTCGTGCCACCTCAGCCCCMTCCTAAACAAACATGTGTACAAGCCTGTACTGGAGTCATGCGAAAGTAGGTATCCCCAAAATAWCCTGTTTAGRGTAMACCATAAAGGCAGAAAAATCCTGAAGTCTATRAAATTAACAGTAGCAATTTACCCAAGGACTTGATTTTTGATGTTTTTAATCCCATTATACACACATACATACAGTAAATGTTCACAACCTTGTACACTGAAAAGATTAGACCTACACCTTTTGGACCACACTTTTCACTTATCCCGATATAACCCATGTTTATGGAAAGAAACAAACTGCATATCGGTGTAAAACGCCATTTTAGCCATAAAACATTTCACTGAATTTGATCTGCCTTCATGTCCCCCATCTCTCATGTTAAAATACACATTTAAACATACTTCCCCTCAGGGGAGCAGGAAATATTAGGTTGGAATAGACAAAAAAAGGAGAACGATGAACCCATGATCTATAAATGTTTAACGAGAGCAGGCAGAGGAGATAAGATGCTCRGAGGAGGAGAGGAGGGGGTGGGGGGGGACGCACAGAGATAAATGTAGAGGTGAAAAAAGGAAGACAATGGCAGAAGAGATGGGTGAGGAGCAAAATGGGTGGCTTGTAGAGAGCGAGACGTTGAGAACAGTCTAATTATAGAAGCAGACATCAGAGCAGGGCTCGAAAATAMCAGAGAGAAGAGGAAAGAGGCAGAGATTTGGGGGGGAAAGGGCCATAATAGGAGGTGTCTGGTGTTTGTCTAACACAGAGRGGCTAGTAATGATCCCATTAGCGCTTCAGACCAAGATAGAGAGACGGGGAAAAAACAAGGGGGAGAGTCAGAAAGAATGGGAGGCACCGAGTGTGAAGGAAAGTGATACAGAGACATCAAGATTCACACAGAACATTTGGGGACGATGCAAAGCATCGGAGCGGCAAAATGAGAACGAAGAATAAAAGAAGAAGCCACGAAAAAAAAAAAAGAACAAGAGAGAGACAATCCAAGCCCTGCTCATATGATTGTTCACATGCCGGTCCTTTTTATGTACACCCCCTCCCAAACTCACCACTTCAACTCTWTGTGTGAAAGCAAACGAGAGAGAGAGAATGATTCGAATGCATTAGTGGCACGTGTTGCCCCCCACCCTCCGCAGAATAGAAGACCTGCAGATTGTTTCAGGTGCAGGGACCTTTTGTTTGGAGGCTGGTGACATGACTCTTTAAAAGCCTGGTCCTCTTTCTCACGCATTAAAAGCACCTGGCTGCCGTGTCTTTTTCTGCGTCTTTTATGAATCTGTCTGTTCGGAGGAGCCCGATGATGGATGCAGCTGCATTAGCTGGCTAAGTGAAATTTGACGAGTTAGGGGGAAACTGTAAAACAGAAGCATGTGCACATAAATAAATAAATAAATAAATAAATAAATAAATAAATAAATAAATAAGGCACAAGCCTGAGTTGTGTGAAAGAAAGAGAGTCCGGTTTGCTTGTTTGGCATTATTTCACACGTTATGTGTTTGGCTGAGATATGTGGGACAGCAAATTCTCTTGCTGTACTGTGATRCTGCAATGCAAATTTCACTCAAAAGCTTACAAAACATTTTTCCATAATTCTCTATAGATGAATCTGACATCCCCTTGCTCAAACCCTCACCACAAAAAAAACAAAACAAAAAAAAAAACACTGTTTTATTCAAGCGTAATTAAAACAAACATTACAACTTCAAATAAACCAAAATTCTGCTTTTGTATTTGTCTTGAAGACAATAGACACTGATTCTCCATGCATTAAAGAAGGGACATAGATCCTGTCTAAATGAATGAGTTTTGAAGTTTAAAGCGCCTGTGACATTATTAGTTTTTTGTGTGATAAATACAAATGTGTTTTGTTTTGTTTTTTTGGAAAGATAGTATTGATAACATTTAGAAAAAAAATCACACCACTGAGTTGAACAGTTGTTGAGATTTTCACATGTGAAGAAACAGGAAGTGATGTCAAAGGAGAATGACTGCATATGATCAGAGCAGCACTACAACAACTGACATCACAGACTGTAGAGAAGAATCTGRTGTTACTTCAGATTATTCTCTGTCACTACCAAAAAGAAACAAAAAAGAGTCTGAGTTTAAATATTGTTTCAATAAACAAAGACCATGGAGTACACTTTCTAAAAGGGTTCCCTTTGATGTCACTTCCTGTTTCACTTTGGCTGAGCCAAATTCAAAAGAAAATACACCAGTTACAAAATGGAAAAAATCATGTGTATTTTGTCAGGGGTTTCTTAAATATAAAGATGTTTTCGTTGATTTTTTTGTCTTCAAATGATATGCATGACACAGGCACTTTAAGTTTTGCCCACAAGTGAATTTGAAGAATCAATGCAATTGCTACAATCACCTTGTTTTTTCTTTCTTTCTTTCTTTTTTATGTTTTTGTCACAAATTTGATGCCAGTCCTGGTTTTCTTTTCTTTGACACACTACCACTCACTCCACCACCAGAAAATATTCTGATACATTTTATTTTGAAAGGATTAAAAAGTGGAAACGATAGCTGAATGTGAATGATGTCAGYTTTACTGCCAGCATTTCTTTCCACATCGATATTGTACAGTTGGAAATGAAAGAATAGAGTATAAAGATTCCCAGCTAGTAGCATTAGTGTTAACACACGCCTCTGTACCCAGATGTTTTTTTCAGCTGCTAGATTTGGGGTGATTTGGGGTCTGTTTTTAAACAGTTTGCTAGTATTTGTGCTATATTAATTAACCCTACATGAGTAAAACAAGATAAAGTGTTGACTCTAATGTACTGTATGTAACAGTGGCTTTTCTTAACATGTCTATCCTTAAAGGTTTTTTTTTTTTTTTGCTTGTAAAAAATTCTGACATTGCTTTAAGGTTTTTCTCTCTGAAGCGATAAGACTGACAAGGTCACAGACATCGCTGAGGTCAACCACTTTGCTGCATCAGGCTGACTGGAAATAAAGTTCCAGCACAGAAATCRTGACACAGACCTTGCAGAGTGAAGGCAGCGAGATCGTCTGAAAACCTGTCAACAAGTTCACCTGTCATTTACCCTGAAGCAGGTAGGCAGACAGACAGGCAGACAGACACGCAGCTCAGCAGTCTGTGTGCCCATGATTGAGACGCAGCCAGCATTCTGTCACGATCTGTGCGCATTACCAGTCTGCAAACTGCAGAGCACATTTTGTTCTTACTCACTTGTCTCTGAGGACCAACTGCCAGGTTTTCTGAGTGTCTTGGCTGCTGCTTCCCCCTAAACAAGTGAAATAACATTGTGTGTGCCGACTCCGAGTCTGCACAGATGAATATCTAAGCTCCAATTTTCCCAAGGAAGTGAGTCCTTGGAGGCAGGTGACATGTGCATGAGCATAATACAGCTTCCCCACTCAAACCCACACTGGCACAGTATGCACACATACATCCTGACTCCCACACACACACACATACACGCCATCCTGGGAGTTTTACAACTCAATAATCTTCTTTCCAAAGGTACACCTTTTGCCTCTTCCTCCACAACACAACGCACACCAGTGAGCCGTGTCTCACACACACTCGCGCTGCTCTCTTCCATGAAGAGGGAAAAAAACAACATATTGGCTACAAATCTCACTCTTTTCTCTGGAAAAGCTGTTGTAATGGTGCCACTCAAACACACAAAGAAACTCAGTAATCCGAACATACAGCCTTAATCACTTCCAGCTTCTGTCATAACTTTGACACACTCACACGCAAAGATGTCCAGATTTACACCCTTATTCACACATTTATACAATTACTACTGGCTTGGTGATATATCCACATCATGATCATTTTTCCGTAAGCTGGTAAGGGCTCTTACACGCTGTAGCACTTCGCTTTTTATTTTTTTCTCAGAAAGTAGGCCAGAGCGTACTCTGCGTCGTGCACACGTTGTGTTACTTTTACACGAGAACACAGAAGTAATAAACTATGACGTCACCAGAAAAAAACACTGTTTTGTCTTCTCTGCTTGTCAATTTTTGTCGTCGGTTTTTTCTCCCAAAATACACACATTTTCACACTTACAACTGTCTCCTGCATATCGCCCCCACCCCCTCCGCCTTCCCAGCAGACTCACGTTGGCAGACGTCCTTGTTCTCCTCGAAGCCCGGTTTGCACACACACCTCCCGATGGGGACGAGCCAGCCTCCGTCTGCGCTGCAGTACATCTTGGGAGCCTCGAACTCCTCKGAGGCGTTCACGCACATGCCGTGGACCTCCACCAGCGCCGTGTCCCCCCCGGTTATCGTGTCGGGAAACTGGGCCAGGTTGAGCACCATGAGGGGACACTTCTTGTAGAAGACCCGGACCGAGACCAGAGCGATACATGCGCCCAAGTCCTGGAAGGCCAGGTAGAAACCCTTTTTACTGAGGTTGCTGATGTCCCGCACCTCTGTGTTCAGCTTCAAGACACGGTCACCCACGTCCACCTGGGAACGAGCAATGTTTATCAGTTTATTTARCAAAAGAGTCTGTAGTTCCAATATTTACCATCAACAGATAACAGAGCATGTTAGACACATWACTCATCTTAGTATAACTGTGGCAATTTGTTACATRAAACTAGCRTGAATAAACAGTATAATTACATAAAATAGCATGTCATTTATGAACTTATCCCCAATATCTTTTTGTCTATGCACATCTTCACCTGTGTGAAGCTCTCATCTGCAGCGATAGTGTCAATCTTCACATACTGGCTTTCCTTGATGAACCACAAGTTGGCATTGTTGGACTGATAGTAGTACATGTTGAAGGTCTGCAAAACAGACAGCATGAGTCAGTTTTCAAACGGATTAAATGTCAAGAAAAAACTCAGTGCATCTGTCTGAACAGCCGGTCATAGAATGCCTGCATTGAAATGCTCTATAGCTGTGGAAATCCTTGATTTGAAAGACAGCACAGAAAAAAGCTGCTGAGGAGAGAAGCTGAGTCCTGCAAGCGATGCAAGAGAAAATATTATAACACAAGTAATATCAAACAGTAAAACAAGCTAGAGAAAAGGATTTTTTAATGCTGTGTACTGCTGAAGGTTGCTGAAGAAGTTTCAACTAAGATGCAGAACTCTAGCTTAAAGATATCAAGAAAGCTAAAAAAAATTTGCATAATAACAAAAAGAAGCAAAATATTAATTAAGAGCTGAAGCGTCAGCTCGTAAATAAAGAGTCCTGTGGAACCTGTACCCCTGGTCCTTGTGCATGGGCGTAACCACCATAGGTACAGGGTGGGAC